ATGTAAAAAATTAACTAATGAAAAAACTTATTTTTTTACTTAAATTACGTGAATAAATTCATTTGGTAAATTTTTTTGTGTAATATATCTTTAAAAATTATTTAATTACATTATTGTCATAATAATTATTTTAAAAGTTATTTTTTGAATACGAGTACTTTCTTTAATTACTTATTTGCCTTCATCTTCTTTCCCCTTTATCTTATCCTCCCCTTCCTCGGACCTTTTTTTTTCACCTTTGCAAATCAAAGATGGGTTCTCGCGAAGCTAGGCGCTGGAATCCAAAGGCATGAAACAATAGTAGATTTCTACAAATGACAAAAATATGCTTAAAAAGTAAAAATGATCAGATCATATTCGATGACATGAAATTAATCACCGACCAATACAACAGGAGATTTCTAACTCATAAAGAAGACATTCAAGTCCAAGTATAACAAATAAACATTCTGATTATTTTCGAAGAAAAGTTAAATTAGATTTTATCAAGATTAGAACACTTCCATTGCAGATTCAAAATTGAGAACACCCAAACCAGACATCAAATCAAGAACAACCAAGATTGGAAAATTAATTCTTCTAGATTTTAACTAACTCGATTGAAAAACAGAGATTCAACTTCTTCTGCGAAACAATTTGAAATTCAACAATGATAACAATGGATTATGAAATCGAAACAAGACATATCCCGACGGCGACCAAGAAAAAAGAAAACTGGGTTGCACGAGGAACCCAGTAATTTGAAGAGGATGGCAAATAGGATTCGAAGGATGAGGATGAGGAGGAGGAGAATGAGGAAATGAGAGAAGCAACAAAGAAGATAAAAGTTTAAAATTAGTTTAAGTTATATTCATTTAATTTATGAATTAAAAAATAAAATTTTTAATATACATACATTAAAACAATTAATATTCCACTATTAAAAATTTTTTTTAAGCAATTACCTATCAGCAAGATGAGCCTTGTCAGTGAAAATACTTTCACCGACAAGGCTCATCTTGCTAATGTCTAATTCCCTCAAAAAGAAAATCTAACTTTCAGTGAGGTTAAATAACTAATTTGATCCTTGAACTTTCAATTTTGAACCAAGTTCATCCTTAAACTTACTAAATTATCGAATTTGTCCTTAAACTTTATTTTTTT